CTATTTCTCTTTAATATTTTTTTATAGTTTATATATTTCTTTCTATTCTTTTGACATTTTTTCTAATCTTGTATTTTTTTTTTAAATTATTTTTTATAGTGTTCTGCTACTTTTACTTTAACATCTTTTGAGCTTGTTAGCAAATTTGTTTTTCTTCTACTTGTTCAATGAACCTGTCAAGTAATATTTTCTTTTAAGACCTATTTAAAAGACTTGCTATTACCTTTCTTGATTTGTTCTAATGATTTCACATCTTTTATTTATATTCTCTTCTATTTGTTTCCTTTGTATTTGTTCTTAGTCTTTTTTTTTACTTTCTAATAATAGCTTTTTTCAATTCTTTATGTCTTCTATTCATGTATTTGACTATTGTCTTTGTAATTGTAAAAGTTTTGCACTAATTTTCTTGTCTAGTGTTTTTAACTGTTCATTTATTTTACTTCTTTCTTCTTCTGTTACTGCTTGGGTTCTTTTTGTTTTTACATGTTTTATTAATCTTTGAAGCTTAACAATGCTTTCTTCTTATTGTTGTTCTCTTGGACTTTTTTTTCTATTTGTTGTTGAATTATACACTTTTTTTTTTGATATATGTTTATTTGCACTATAATGATTGCTTTTTCTATTATATTTCATATATTGTTTATTTTCTTTGTCTTTCTTTCTTCATCTTGCTCCTTTTTGTGAATGTTTTTTAATATCTTTTTTTTTTCTAGTTGGTTTTGTAATTTCTGTATATAATTTTTTTAGTCTTCTGATTTTGCTTAGTCATACAAGTATACAGTTTTTGACTGTTTTTTCCTTTTAATCTCTGCTTTGCTTTTTTTTGTTACTAAATGCTTTATCTATACTTCTACTATTATTATTTTGTAGTCATTTTCTGTGATCTCTTTTACTTCTTCAATTTCTGTTTTTTGTAATCTTGAGGCCAATCCCTCTAATATCTATATATAATCAATTCTTGTTGCTACTTCTCCATTTGACTATATATATTGTTAACCTATCAGGTTCATGTTTCTATATATGTCTCTAAAGTCTTAATTCTTTATCCAATAGAAGATTGGCAGTCTTTTGTAGTTTATTGTTTATAGGTATTGTCTGTCTAAAATATTGTTTATATATGATTAAAATTACCTATTACAATGATTTGTGTTTGTCTTTTCCTCTTTGTGACCATTTCTATAATTTTTTACTAAATGTTTTTTTTTGCTGCTTTATTATTTGGTGACATATAAACTGCAATCACTACTAACTCCAATTGTTTAAAATATAGTGTGATTTTTATCATATATTTACTAACTACATCTATATGCTTCTCTTATTATTCATTAACTATAATTCCAATATTTAAATCTTTCTTTTTATCTTTTGCTGCACTTGTCCAAAAACCTATATAGGAACCCTTATAGCAAAAGATGACAATGTACCAAAAAAATTCTTTTTTAAAAAATACCATTTTTTAAAGAATTAGAGTAATAGGTATATAATTTTTATAAAATTACAGAATCAAAATTTTTTGCACATTGCTATCTTTTGCTATAGTTGTCTCTATATATCTTTTGTTTGCTATATATGTTAAAAATTTTCTTTCTCTTTCTGTAAGTTTTGTTTTAGTAATTTCCAATATTATGATTTTTTCTTCTTCTGCCCAACCAAGCAAGTTTTCTAACTTCCAACCTTTGGTTTTCAGTTCATTAATGTTGTAACATGCTATTTTGATTTCTTTTCTTTCTTTTTTCTACTTTTTTTTTAACTCTTTTTGTATTATTGCTTTGTTTTCTGTCTTTTCTTTTTTATTTCTGCTTTTTTTTCTTTTAAACTAAAAGACATTTCTTTTTTTCCTTCTTCAAAAACTCTTCTTTTATCTTACAGAAAATCTCTGATCTTCTTATCTAGATTTATTAATTTAACTAATATGCCCTTAGAACCAATCAGTCAAAGCTGTTTGGCTTGTTAAATTTCCAATCTTTCTAATCTTTTTAATATTTTTTGAAGAAGACTATGCATTTGCAGTTGTGCCTCTTTATTTTCAATTTGGTTTCTCTTGTGGTTATTGTAGTGTTTATTATTTTTCTTTTGTCTTTCATCATAATTAATGTTTCTATAAGTTTCTATATTTGAACTTTCATTAGTATTATCCTCATTGATATAATTTTCTTCTTTAGTTTTGTTTATATATTTTCTATTTTCTTTCTTGTGATCTTTCCAAAAAAGTAAATAACTGTTGAATCATATTGGTTTCATTTGTGCTACTTCCATTTCTTCTACTAATATAAATATAATTGTAGCTAACCTTCTTTGATTTCCATTTCTATTAGGTAGTATATATATTGATTTTACATTTTTTTTCTTTAAGCATTGTAATAGCAATACTTCTATGCATTTTCTAGAAGTTCTACTAATCAAGTTGTAAATTGATTTTGCATATTACACTGATTATAGTTTTCTTTTCCTATTATTACTTTTGTGAGTTTGTGCATTCCTATTGGCAATAATCATAGAATACTTCTTTCTTTTATTTTCTTTGCTTTGATTACTGCTAATACTTTGTATTTAAACATTTTAATATATTTTATATAAGCTTCTTTAATACTTTTGCACATATGGTCTACTCTTCTACATTGATATTAGTTAGTAAATCTCATATTAAATGTAACTCTGCTTCTAACTTATCTTTCATTGCATGACTATTTTTATTGTTTTCTTCTTTTCTTTGTCTAATAGCATTTTTGAATTTTTTTACTTTTTTTTCTTTGCTTCTTAGTACTTGCTACTTCTGCTTCTTTTTTGGTTTTTTGGTTCTTTTAAGATGATTTTAAGCTATTTACCTTCTTTTTTTTTAATTCTCTTCATTGCTGCATTTCTGCTAAATTCATAGTCAAAATTCACTTCTACCCAACTATTTTTCTTTTTGAAAAGTTCTTAAATTGATTTAATATAATAATTTTCTCAAAAAATCTACTGCACATATTTAATTCTTTTTTCTTTTTTTTATCTGGCACTATATAAATTGGCATATTTGCTTTAAAGGATTTACTTCTATCACATATACAGTTTTTTGATGACCACTAATTTTGCTTTATTGTATCTGTTAATTCTAAAGTTTCTTGCTTTTCTTCTTTTGCTTTTAGTTCTGCTATTCTTCTATCTATATTTTTGATGTCTTTTTTAAGATTGCATATTCTGTTATCTGTTGACTCTTCTTGGTCTTTTTTATTTTCTTTCTTTTAATTACCATTTTTACATCTTATTGTTTTTATTGGCAGTTTTCCTATAGTTATGTTTTTGGAGTCTTTGAAATTATGTTGATTTTTAGTTAAAATGCTTAGTTCTTCTATTTGTTTTATAACTTCTTTTAAATCTTGATTCATTTCTTCTCTTTTATTTTTATATTCTTGGTATTTTTCTTCTGTATATACAATGTTTTTATTTTTTTAATCTTCTTTGCCTCTTTTGTTTCTTCTAGCTTTGTTTCTTTTCTTGATGTTTCTTTTTCATTTGTATTTATTTGATAGTTAAATGATCTAGAAATTATGTCTATTGATGCTAGTTTCTTTATTTATTTTTTTATAGTACTATGTAAAATTATGCATGCTTTTGCTATTTTAAGTATTTTTAGTATTTGGCTATAAAGAAGTAAATTATTTGCTATAATGTTTTTTGAATCATAAATTACTAGATCTCTTGCTATATACTCTAGATTATCAGAATTTCTTATAGGTTTTGCTAAGACTGCATCTAGTATTTTACTATCTATATATCTTAAATTTCTATCACTGAAACTCTTAATATATTGAATTAGATTTGTACTATATAGTAGTCCTAATCTAGTTTGTATTTTCATTTCTAGACTATTCTGTTGTTCATCTATTTGCTTATTTTATATGCTGTACTTATCTGTTATTTTCTAATAAAGCTATTTGTTGTTACTATTTGTTGTTTAGTATAATGTGACATGTTGTTTTGTTTGTGTTGATGGCTGGTTATATGTTTCAATCTTGTTTTTCAAAGTCTAGTACCATTTTTCAATTTTCATAAAAAACTTTTTTAAAATTTGTAAAACTAGCAAAAGCTTTTTGTTTAATAGAACTTTACTTATACTGTTGTTAAAGTAAAGCAGTTGTATTTTGTGTACTAAGTCTTTTTTTTAGAGTCTAAAATAAGGTTTATTAAGCTGTTTTTGTATTTTTTTCTTTATATTTGTTTGGTTTTGTTTAGAAATTAAGAATTAGCAAAGAAAGTTTTTTGAATAGCTTTTTTTCAATATAAAGAAAATTTTAATTTTTTTTAACAATTATATTTAAATATATTCTTAAAACTAAATAAAATTATTTTTTATTTAAATTTATATATACTCATAAAATTTTATATCAATAACTTAAATATTAAATAAATTAATTAATTTTTTATTAAAATACTCTTAAACTACTTATACTCAAATTTAGACTAGAAAACTTGTCTTGTTTACTAAACTAAAGTTATTTAGCTTATTTCAAACTTAATTTTGATATGTTTTATTTAGATTGTTCTTATCTTTCTATAATTGCATAGTAATTAAGATAATGTATAAGTACTATAATTAATTTAAATAATGATTTCAATTAGTGCTTGAGCATTTTCTCTTCTTATTGCTATCAATGTTTTCAAAAAGAAAAAAAACAGTTATTTCATTAGTTCCTAAAACTTCAGTTTTCCAAATATTAACATCTAAATCTTTGGTTCTAAAACTCTTAATATCTAATGTTTTGGCTTTAAAACTTTAGTATCTAGTGCTTTGTCTTCAAAATCCTTAATGCCTAATTTTTGTCTTTTGAAACTTTAGTCTTTTTAGTTATTTGGCTCTCTTTATTAACAAATAATTTATTATTATAACAATAGCAGTTCTCTGCTACTCAACTTTATATAAATTCTTTAAACAAACTAATAACAAAATATAATGAATTAGTATAAAAAATAATTATTTATAATAGTTTTTTGTTTTTTAAAAAAAAGAAAAATCTATTATGCAGCTTTTATTTAATGCCTCTCATAATCAGAAAAATTATTTGTTTTGTAAACCCATAGTTATTAATCCAAAATCAGCTTCTGTTTCTTATAATTTAACATTAACAGCTTTAGTTATGACTAATATATCTTCTAGCAGATTAATTAATCAATGAACATCATCAGAAACTTAAATGCTTATTTATAAAGTTGAAGATTATTAAGAAATATTGAAGAATATTAAAAATCCAAGAAAAAAAAGCTAAATCTGAAATATAATTATTTCAAATATACAAATTTTTGATATTGCAAATCCAATTTTAAAGAAATGTACAAAAACATCAATTTAGTAAAAATAAGATGTATTTCTTTAAAAATATTGTAACATTAAAGATAAAAATTACAACTACTGATGAAGAAGCTATTCAAAATAATTAAGAATTTTTTTATAATATAGATGTATATTTAAAAAAAGATCCAAGTATAACTGCATCTATTAAAAGTAATTTGATTTATGATATCAAATGTAAAATACAAGAAAACTCTAAGAATCATTATGAAAATGAAATAAAATTATTTATTTATTATTTACTTTTTTTATTTTAATCAAATATTTATAATTGTATACTATAAAATAAAATAAAAAAATACATATAGTAAAGAAAAATCAAATATCAAAGATCTGCAGACTCTTATTAAGAAATAAATATAAGCTATTACAGAAATTATTAAAGATCAATATATGCATGCTTCTGAGATTCAGACAATTTTTATTAAAATTTTAAATAAATTAAATATACTAATAATATATAGCTATATAATAATATATAATAAAGCAGCTTTACATGAAAGACCAGAATAATGACAGTTAGACTCAACGCACAGAGCAGATTATAGTACCTTGCACAGCTGTAAGAGCCAAGCATACAGTGACCAATTCTGTAAAAAACAATTTCACAAGATCATTTCTAACATTTTTAGCTTTATATGATCTTAATATATGTTATAAAAAATTTCTTTCCTATTACAATATTTCTTTTCTTTCTTACAACCAAACTATTCAAACTCTTATACAATATATTAACAAGCATAACTCCAACCAAACTGTTACTAGCATTATATTCTCTGTTAATATTAATTATAATAAAGCCTATATATACCTTCTTAATAATTTACTTTTACCTAATCACATTATTATTCCTTCTTATTTTCTTCCTAAGTTTTATAACCTTTCTCTCAAGTCACACTCTTCTAATTCTAATCCTATCTTATCAAATACACTTATACAAAATATACATGATTTATATCTCAAAATTACTATGTATAATGTTAGAGGTTTTAACACTATAACCAAAAGAGAAGCATAGCAAAACTATTGTCTTCATAACAATATTAACATTGCTTGTATTACTAAAACCAAAATTGCTAACAACAATAATCTTCATTTCTATAATAACAATCTATTTACATACTTTTGAGCTAATTCAGATAGCTTAGCTGAAGGTACTGCTATCATGATCTATAAACATTTACAATCTCAGATATATAACTGCCAAATACATCTTAATAGAGCAGTTGCTTTGGACCTTTTCTTCAAAAGTGAAACCAAACTGCATATCATAGCTGTTTATCTTTCTTTAATTGATATGCACAAATGTAACAAAACACAAAATACAATCATTACATGGATTCAACAAGCGCAACAACTTAACTTTTATCATATTCTATTTGATAACTTTCATATATATAATGATATTAATAGTTCATCATTTAAATTTCAACTTATTAATTATCTACATTAATCCAATATGTTTGATTTTAGTATATATATAGATAATAAATATTATACATGGTCAAACAACATTAGTCAAAATTGCATTAATTATATTTGAACTAACTCATTTAACATTCAATTCTTTCTTTTATATAAACTAGATAATAGTAATTTCTCTACACTTAGTGATCACTCTATCCTTATATTAACTTGGACTTTTATAAATGCATATAGCAAACCACTATGACATCACACTGGTATTAGCTATAGAATTTTTAACTACAAGACTATATTACCAGAAAAATGAAATAAATTTTCAGATCTTTTTTCTCATAATCTTAACCTACATAATACTCTACTTAATAGCAATACTAATAAAAGCATTGAAACTACTTGGCACAAAATTGAACATGCAATTATTAATGCTACAACATATTCTATCCTTAACAAAATAACTTGAAAACACAATTACAACCATCAATACTCTCCTTATTTTACATTACTTTACTTATCACTCAAAGAGCTTAGACATTTAATTAAAATTATTAAAAGCTCTAACAATCTTAATATTGAACTAATTAATGTTAAAGTTCAGATTATTAACAATAGATCCAAATATAATCTTCAAACTCTTACCTTATATAACAACCTATACAGCTGAATTCAATATGCACAAGATATATAAAAGCAACTCTATTATGTCCATTATATTGAAAACTCACTATTACTTTGACAACAAATACATCAAGCAACAGAAAAAAAATATAAAACTCTTCTAACATATTCTAAACAAGCTATTAATAGCATTCTTAATTGTTACAAATCTCCAATCTATTTTTCAAATATTAAACTTTCTGACCAACTAATTACTGAACCAAACCTTATCAAACAACATATACAATCTTACTTTTTAACTAAACAGCATACCGACCAATTGATCAAAATTTGTTTGATAACTTTTGGCCAGTGTGGCTTGATTCACCAACAATCAAATTACTGACACAACACTGACAATCAATTTACTGATATATTTGTTTTACAGACAATCAATTCACTGACACTCAATCAATAGACAAGCTGACTTAATTGACAAGCTTATTTTAATGACAATTAATTTAATGATATTCATTTTGCTGACAAGATTGAATCATCAGTAAGCTTATTTTACTTACTATACATTTCACCAACAAGCTTATCCAATAATTAGCTTGAATTGATATAATAAAAAAATTAAATTAGTATTGAATGAGACAAAAAATCAAGTTATTTATACCAAAAAAAGAAAGAAGCAATTGATACTTGACCTAATTTGTAGCTATGTAAAAACTTATTCTTGACTCGAATTTATGTAATAAAAAATAAAAAAAAATTAGTATTAAGTGAAGAATCAAATAATTTATACAAAAAAAAAGAAAGAAGCAATTGATACTTAATCTAATTTTTTGCTATATGAAGACTTATTCCTAACTCAGATTTATATAATAAAAAATAAAATAAAATTAGTATTGAGTGAAAAATCAAGCAATTTATGCAAAAAAAAGAAAGAAGCAATTGATACTTAACCTAATTTATAGCTATACAAAGACTTATTCCTGACTCAGATTTATATAATAAAAAAAAAGATAAAATTAATATTAAGCAAAGAATCAAGCAATTTATGCAAAAAAAAAGAAATAAGCAATCAATACTTAATCTAATTTATAGCTATGCGAAAACTTATTTCTGACTTAAATTTATATAATAAAAAAAGGTAAAATTAGTATTAAGCAAAGAATCAAGCAATTTATACAAAAAAAAGAAAGAAGCAATTGATACTTGACCTAATTTATTGCTACACAAAGACTTATTCCTGACTTGAATTTATATAATAAAAAAATAAACTAAAATTAGTATTAAGCAAAGAATTAAGCAATTTATACAAAAAAAAAGAAAGAAGCAATTGATACTTGACCTAATTTATTGCTATACAAAGACTTATTTCTGACTCAGATTTATATAATAAAAAAATAAAATAAAATTAATATTGAGGAAGAATCAAGCAATTTATGCAAAAAAAAAGAAAGAAGCAATTGATACTTGATCTAATTTATTGCTATATGAAGACTTATTCCTAACTCAGATTTATATAATAAAAAAAAAAAGGTAAAATTCCTGACTTGGATTTATATAATAAAAAAAATAAACTAAAATTAGTATTGAGTGAAGAATCAAGCAATTTATGCAAAAAAAAAGAAAAAAGCAATTGATACTTGACCTAATTTATTGCTATATAAAGACTTATTCCTGACTTAAATTTATATACTAAAAAAAAAGTTAAAATTAGTATTGAGCGAAGAATCAAGCAATTTATGCAAAAAAAAAGAAAGAAGCAATTGATACTTGATCTAATTTATTGCTACATGAAAACTTATTTTCAATTCAGATTTATGTAATAAAAAATAAAATAAAATTAGTATTGAGTGAAGAATCAAGCAATTTATACAAAAAAAAAAAAAAAGTAATCAATATTTAACCTAATTTGTAGCTATGCAAAGACTTATTTTTGATTCATATTTATATAATAAAAAAATAAACTAAAATTAGTATTGAGTGAAGAATCAAGCAATTTATGCAAAAAAAAAAGAAAGAAGTAATTAATACTTGACCTAATTTATTGCTACACAAAGACTTATTCCTGACTTAGATTTATATAATAAAAAAAAAAGAGTAAAATTAGTATTGAGCAAAGAATCAATCAATTTATACAAAAAAAAGAAAGAAGTAATTGATACTTAACCTAATTTATAGCTACATGAAGACTTATTTCTGACTCATATTTATGTAATAAAAAATAAAATAAAATTAGTATTGAGTGAAGAATCAAGCAATTTATGCAAAAAAAAAAGAAAGAAGCAATTGATACTTGACCTAATTTATTGCTACATGAAGACTTATTTCTGACTCGGATTTATGTAATAAAAAATAAAATAAAATTAGTATTAAGTGAAGAATCAAGCAATTTATACAAAAAAAAAGAAAGAATCAATTGATACTTGACCTAATTTATTGCTATGCGAAAACTTATTCTTGACTTGTATTTATGTAATAAAAAAAGATAAAATTAGTATTAAGCAAAGAATCAATCAATTTATGCAAAAAAAGAAAGAAGCAATTGATACTTGATCTAATTTATTGCTATGCAAAGACTTATTTCTGACTTATATTTATGTAATAAAAAATAAAATAAAATTAGTATTGAGCAAAAAATCAAGCAATTTATGCAAAAAAAAAAGGAAGAAGCAATGATATTTGACCTAATTTATAGCTATGCAAAGACTTATTTCTGATTCAAATTTTTGTAATAAAAAAAAAGATATTATTGCTAGTATTAATAATAGGGAATATTATTATAATGCTATAGCATTATAGACTATTATATATAAATACAAAATTAATATAACATATAAATCAAAACAATCTTTTTTGTACAAAAAATAATTTTTTTTATTAAAGTTAAATTTATGATTAGTTAAATTAAAGTTAAATTTATAGTTAGTTAAATTAAAGTTAAATTTATAGTCTAGAGCATCTTTATACTTCTTTTAATTATATAATAATTTAAAATAGGAATCTTGTTACTTGTTCTTCTTTTTAATTCTCTTTTTTCTTTATCTTTTTGCTTCTT